AATGGGTCTAGGCAATAATCATCAATGGCTGGTAACATCACAAAAAAGAGTGATAACCAGACATAATGTGCTTCCTGATGGCATACTCAGAAACAACCATGAAGTATTGCCAAAAAATCAAGCCTGAATTTGATCAAGCCTCAAGATCTACCAGTTTATATAAAATACAAGGAGGAATGTACTAAATACCATAGAAATACAATAAAAAAAAAAAAAAAAAAAAACCAAGACTGTAAAAACTACAGAACAAGCAATGTGTTTCTTCAACAAAAAATTACCAGGGAAAAAAGAGATGGAGGAATGAGAATCTATGATTCCCAAGGTCTTAAGAGATGTTAACTATTTTAATGTGTAAATCTTATTTTGCATCCTGATATAAACAAACTAAAAAAAAAATTGAACTTGGGAAATTTAAACACTGATTGCTTATTTAATGATATTAAATTATTAATAATTCTATTTGTGATAACAGAATTATGGTTATGTTTTTTTGAGTCCTTACCTTTTTTAATTAAATATTTTGAGATAATTATAGATTCACATTTAGTTCTAAGAAATTATATTAAGAGGTCAGGTGCAGTGATTAATGCCTGTAATCCCATCATTTTGAAAGGCCAAGACAGGAGGATTACTTGAGGCCAGGAGTTCAAGATCTGCTGGGGCAAAATAGTGAGACCCCCATCTCTACTTTAAAAATAAAAATAAAAATAAATGTTACCAAAGGATATCACATATCCTTTATCAAGTTTTTCCCAATGGTAACATCTTGCAAGACTATAGTACAGTATCACAAACAAGATACTGACACCGATTGAGTGAAGATCCATAACATTTCCACTGCCATAAGGTTCTCTCATGTTGCCTTTAATAGACACACCCATTTCCCTCCCATTCACACTCCCTATCACCTGGCAACCACAAATCTGTTCTTCAGTCCATGATTTTGTCATTTCAAAAATGTTCTAGAAGTTCTAGAAATGGAATCACACACTCTGCAACTTCTGGAATTGCCTCTTTGCACTCAGCATAATTCTCTGAAGATACATCCAGGTTGCTGAGTGTATCAATAGTTGGTTCCTTTTTATTGCTGAGTAGTATTCCATGGTAATGGTATGCTACTTTCTGTTTAATCATCTACCCATTGAAGACACCTGGGTCTTTTTTTTTTCCATTTTGAGCTATTGTAAATAAAACTGATATAAACATTCAAGTAGAACCCTTATCTTTTAAAGTACTTACATATGTAGGGATGAATAAAATGATGCTAGGAATTGCTTCAAAAAAGTTCCTAAATGGATAAGATATGGAAAAAAATAACCTCTTCATCAGCTAATAAGTGCATCATACAATTATCTCTATTTTTATATGTTTAACATTTTCCATAACATAAAGTTCAAAAAAAGAATCCAGCAGGAAAAAATTACTTATCTGACCACTATATAACCCTGCACATAAACACACATATCTTCAAGTATAATTGAAGATACACTTTTTTTATCTTGTGACTTTAGGCCATGCCAAGATCACAAGAATTCTTTGCTTAAAACATAGAGCCCACACCTTCCAGTGATCACTATTGAAACACTTACTGTAACAATTAAGGCAGACCCAACCCAAGTATCTGTTAACTTTCTTTCAGAAGTTTTTTTATTAGGCTACAGGGTTGATATAATAGGTAGTCTGTAACATTGGACAAAAGCAGGTAAGTAATCACCATAATCAAATGTATGAGATTTATGAGTGGCTTGTCTTCAAAAGAGAGAGTTTATGTCTGACATGAATAGGTCCTTATCATCAAGACAAATGCTGAAAGAACAGAAGTGTGATTACTAAAAATGAAGAGCAACAAACTATATGAGTACAATCAGGCCTGAAAATGAAGTGAAATGCATTTTATATTATGCAAAGGCTGCCTTTGTTTTTAAGCCACTCTGGAGGACAGCATATTATTACCATGTTCAGTCTGCAAGCTAATGATTCCTTAGTATAATTCTGCAAAATGGTATCTACTATTCAACATCACCAATATTCTATCAGCTCATTCTTCCCTAGTGCTGTCTCATCTTCTCCCCCTCCATCTCACTGAGGATACCTTGATTTTTCTTCATATGTGGTACTAAAATCTGAAGACCTATTCTCCCAAAGATCTCAAGCAAAGAAGAAGATATAAATACCAACCTATTTATCAATCCAGGATTAAAAGCCAAGATTTCCAAAGGAAATATTCATGATGCTTTTCAAGTGCCAAGTAGTTCAATAGCTACAAATGAGTTTCCCTTATTTGGTCTTTAATGCCTTGTCATGCACCATGATGAGCAATTCTAAAGCTTAAATAAATATTGTTATTAAAAGTAGGATATCTGTTCACAGATCAAATCCCAATAAGACAAATTCCAAAGGATCACCTAAGTTTTATAATTGTGTTGTAGTGTGGTTTTATCAAATAGCCCTTCTATTAAGTCAGCCCCAGCCTTGGTGTTAGAAATAGTAATGCTTGTTGTGATATGATTTGATCTGTAATACCATACTATGATAGGGAGGAAAAAGATGGTACACTGATAGGCTATCTGTGTGACAGTCAAATAACTATAAAATGAAAGACATTAGTCAATTCTATTAAAAACAATCTTACAGATGGTTCAGTGGTGAGTTTAACAATGTTAAGAGTTCTATCAATGGAAAGAAATCTACGGCAACATTGTATCAAAATCTTGTTCTTATGTCATGGGTCAGAACGGAGACACACAGAATTAAAATATAAAATATCACAGATCACTAGAAATGGTGCTATATATAGGTGCTACATTGAGGAGATTAATTTTCTGCTAGAGACAGAAAATGAAAATGATAAAAATTGGATTCAAGAATAAAATGGAATGGAGAAAGAGTTGATAAATGGGTGTAAAGTTAAATACACATATATTTTTGAATACTCTTTTCCTGTATCTTTTGCCATCGTTCTTGACTCTTACAACCAAACAGTTTCTGGGTCCTGTGGATAAGGACTCTACAATATAAATTTTTGTACAGTTTGTGGCCATTGACAAGATACTAGAAGTTGGAACTCTTAGCACTCAGCTTGACATACTTAAAGGTTAATCTAAAATAGTTTGCATAAAATAAAATGTTCTTGCCAAATCTTTAGGGTTGGTTTGCTCATATTTCACATTAGTCTTCTTCATAGCAACCACAATTGCCTGGTCTACAGACTTGGATTTCAGAGGGGCCATTTTTGTGAGTTGAGGTGGTTTCAGAGAAGGGAATGTATGAGAGCACAGGTAGTAACAGGTCATGCATGCAGAAAAATGAGGGAAAGCATCACATCTAGAAAAAATTCCAAGAACAAATTACACAAGAGGAGTATAGAGAGCTGAATAACCATGTCTGGCATGAGCTGTGTAGAGTGGAGGAGTAGAAGATAAACTTAGAAGAGCAGGTTGGAGCCAGGGAGTGGCAACCTCTGACGCCCAGGCAAAGCATTTAGAACACATCCCATAGGCCCTAAGAGAACTACTGCAGGTTTGAGCACACGTAAGATAAGTGCAGCAGTGGTTAAAAAGATGTGACTACAGGTAAGAGGCAGAGAGGAAAGGAGCAGAAGACCACAGATAAAAACCTTTACTAATTGTTCCACATGAGGTCAGAGGGCTTGATTTAGGAGGGTGATAGTGGGAAGAGAAAAGATTAATTTGAGGGGGGCAGTGTGAAATATACAAATACTTAAAGCTAGTTTTATCCTCAATTAAAACCTAGAAAATGGTCATTATTAAAGAACTACTTATGAGATACTGAGGATTATTATGTAGATTGAGAGGTAAACTGTCATTATGATCAAACACATAAGAGGGCATAAAAATTCTAATAACTGATAAAGTCATTTTTAAAGGAAGCTTTCACTAAGCTTAACAGGAGCTTGGAAAAAAATGGATTTTTGATATAAGTAAAAATTATATTTAAGGAGATCATGATTGGTTGCAAGGTGATGAGTATTTTTAAATTTCAAAATAACTACTGATTTTAGCAAGGCAGTAATAATGACTTATTTGATTGACAGATCTATTTTCCCTACTTTTGCAAATCTACATTTGCAGATCTATTTTCTCTACTTTTTCAAACCACTTTTGCAAACACATTAATCAAAAGCTCTTCTTTTTTGTAAAACTGTAAAACAGTATAGATTACATAAGCCTAATCTTCTTAGTATATAAGCCAACTTAGTTTCTATTTTCATTTGCTTAATACATTTTTATTGAGCATTTACAACATGATAAGTACCGTGCTGGTGCTGCATGTACAATGAAGAATAAAAGAGACACGGTCTGCCTATGTGAGAGCTCACAGTATAGACAATCCCAGACTTAGGATGGGTCAACTTAACAATTTTGATACTTTATAATGATGTAAAAGTGATACACCTTCAAGAGAAACCATATCTTGATACCATACAACCATTCTGTTTTTCACTTTCAATAAAGTATTTAATAAATCACATGGAGCTATTCAACATTTTATTATAAAAAAGGTTTTGTGTTAGATGATTTTGTCCAACTGTAGGCTAATGTAAGTGTCCTGAGCACATTTAAGGTAGGCTAGCCTAAGCTATGATGTTCAGTAGGTTAGGTGTATTAAATGTATTTTCTACTTAAGATATTTTCAACTTACGATGGGTTTATCAGGATGTATCCCCACTATAAGTGAAAGAGTATCTGTATGGTGGAATAAATAGATATCAATTTAAACATCATTCTAATATGTAATTAAAATTGGAATACATATTCTAAAGAAAAAATACAGGGCACTATGAGAGCTTATAATATGGAGGCTAAACCAAGATTGGGTCTGGGAGGTGTTTTTAAGGAAACTGTCTGTGAGGTAAAATATGTAAGGATATAGAGGAGTGAAATAGGGAAAAGAGTTGGGGAAAGGGAACTAGAAGAAAAGATGAGCAGAGGGAAAGAATACAATAAAATGCATACAATAAAATGACAATGCTCTCCAACCTGTTGTGTAATAGTATCCCATGGTCCCTGTAGCAGTCGCGTCTTATAGCACTCATGAACTCCTTCCCATATGTCCTTCAGAGTTAAAGGTCTCCCATCTGTGAAAGTGCATGGTAAAGACTGAGTTAGTAATTCATGTGACACAATGGTACTTGGTGTCAATCTAAAACTCCTGGAAGAATATCATGACTTTTAGAAAGATCTTTAGTGCACATGCTATTTACATATCAAGAGAGTGCTATATGAATTACTATTTTCTTCCTGAGGGAAATTTAAACATTCAAGCTTCTCAGCTTTGTATCCATCTAGCATTTAAATTATCTGCTCATTCATTGCCTCTAGGAATTTTGCAAAATAAATAAAATCCAAATGTGTTTTAGAGAGAACTGACAGATACAAGCACAGGCAAAGGAACAGACAAACAGACTCCCATATTCACAAAAGTGAACTATGAATACTCTGAATCCTTTGTACTTCCTCTAGTCCTTAAAACAAAGAAGCCATACCCATGCATCTTTCACATTCTTGTGGAGTATTTATAATTTCCAAATCACTTCATCAGTTACCATGGAGAATAGAGAGAAGAAAAACACACAATTTCTCCTAGTAAAGAGCCTATCATCTACTAAGAAAACCATGACAAGTATATTATAGTAGAGTGGTCTCTGGCTGAAGAAGACTAAAGCTCACTGATGGTCTAAGGAAGAGAGATATTAACTCTTGATGTCTATGGCAGGTAGGGAAATGGACTCTTGGGGTCAATGGACAGGAGAACAGGGTTGGCATGAAGAGGGCAGTAAAAGCTTTATTGAACAATAATGCTCTTTGTTTCAATTATCCATCTGTATCCACCCAAATGATGTATTTTACGAAGACCACTATGGCACTTACAATATACACAAGATAAGTCAAGTCAAAAAACAGGTTTCTAAGTTCTAAAAAGAAGGCAGAAAGAGAAAGTCACTGAAAGATTTCAAACCACATACTGCTGGAAAGAAGGTGTCTTAATACTAGAATCCAGTACAACTTGGTCCATTCAGAGCTATAAAGCCCTCAAGACTCACAGGTGTGCTCTTTTGGGCTAATGGATGATACCACTTAAAGATATTTCACACAGCAATATACTGAATATTTAGACCAAAGAAGTATTTGATCATCAAAGGCAACAAAGCTTAAGGGAAATAATCTACTCAAGAGTTCCAAAAATCACTGTATTCAGACTTTCAAGTATAAGTAGAAATGTATGGTGTTGGGAAAAAAGCACTAGATTTGGAGTCTGGACTAAGTTTAAATCCTGGGGTTGGCACTTAGTTCTACATGACTGCAAATTATTTTGCTTTTAACTGCAAAATGAGAATAATAATCCTTTCTGAGTGTTGTTCTTTTGAGGCTTACATGAGTGAACCCACCCAGGACTGTGTTAGGCACACAATAAGAGCTCAATAAATATTAGGAATCTTTTTCCAGTACTCATACAATTATTCCCATTATTCTCAAAGCTGAAAGATTCATTTCTAGACTGTGATTTCTTAGAATTTTCCCATGTTGGGATACCATTCATATCATCTTTGATATAGTAATATACTAATATCATAAGCAGGGCATTTCTCATGTTTGACCTAAAAGTTGAACTTTTCCTCAACCTTTATTTTCAATAAATAGCAATAGAATATTTTGATACATTTTCAATAAGTATCTTCATCTTGGCATTTATCTGGCGGCAGGAGACCATTATCGTGTGATAAATAGTTTTATTCCATTGACATTTCCATGTCTGTAAAATGAACAAGATTTATTCATCCAATTAACATTTGAATGTCATGTTTAGCTACAAGTTAAAAACAAGCTGCCTTCGGTATCTGTGTTATATTGTTTTCTGAACACATTTACAGAGTAGGGCCAAACTCTGCTCTTAAGCATTATGCACCTTTGAAATATGCACATGCCATGCCTGCCTGTGTGTGTGTGTGTGTGTGTGTGTGTGTGTGTGTGTGTGTGTGTGTTGGTATGGGAAGAGGCAAATAAGATCTTAAGTACTTTAGTGTCAAATAGTAAATAATAAAATTGTAGAATAATGACATGCTTTTAAAATAATTTTTACGTGTCAAAGTTAAAAGAAATGAAATACCTGCAGTAGGATAATAAAAGGTTAGAGCTAGTATAACCACTAATTGTATAAATAGGGCAGCCAAGGTCTTAGGAAATATGCATCTGCCAAAAGTATGCAGCCAGTTCATGACTGAAGTCTGAATCCAGATCTCAGGACTCACCAGTGCTCTTCCTGCTGGTCCACGCTGCCTCTGAGGGCAAAGGAGTTGCCAATGGTTTATAAATATTTACCGAATAAATGATAAATGACGAAAAATGCCTTTCTTATTTCCCCTAAAATAATGCTTTACGGGCCTAGAGAAGAACACTGGGTTTCATATCTGATAATCAGTAATGATTTTAATTTTATTCCTTAAAGTATTTCAGGCAACAATGTAAGTATGGAGTAAATGGTTTGGATAGAAGTTAATTTTAGAAGTAGATGTTTTATATAATTTGGCACCAACTATATGCCAGGCATCTGTTCCAAGTCTTTGTGATACATCAGTGACCAAAACATTCATACCTGTTTTCATGAAGGTTACATGTTACCTTGGGGTGTGTGTGTGTGTGTGTGTGTGTGTGAGACAGTACACAATTAACAAAATAAATGAGTAAATTATATATTATGTTAGGAAGTGATACATACTGTGGTGAAAAGGAAAAGTAGAGCAGGCTAAGAAGTGCCAGCCAAAGGCAGGTTTGCAATTTTAGACTTCAGTGAGAAAGTAGCTTGTGTGCAAACACTGGGAGGCACAGTCTTCCAAGGAAAGGGACCAACCAGTGGAAAGACCACCAGGGGTGGGCAGGGGATCACTGGCACTACATGCAGATCACTAACATTCGTCACTTAAAGACAATGACTTAAAAGAATCACACAGCTTTATCAAGATATAATTCACATACATACAATCTATCCATGTGAAGTATACAATTTAATTATAGAGTTGTGCAATCATCACCTCAATCAATTTTAGCACACTTTCATTACCTTAAAAAAAAAAAAAAACAGCGGGACACAATGGCTCATGCCTATAATTTCAGCAATTTGGGAGGCTCAGGTGGGAGGATTGCTTGAAGCCAGGAGTTTCAGACCAGCCTGGGCAACAAAGTGAGACTCCATTTTTACAAAAATGTGGCCATATAGGGAAGGGCAGAGACAAGAGGCCAGGAAAGTATTTACCTCAGTGGAGTCCTTTGGCTGTAGTCCCAATGAGGCCTGGCAAAGCTTTATTTCTTTTTCTGCAGAATAAGCCCGATTTTCTCCTCACCCCAATTTTCTGAACCAACTTGGGTGCTTTTCTGATTCTTGTAACCAGAGCTTTGTTTGAAAAGTAGCTTCTTCAAATGAGGAAACCGATGGAAAAGTTAATAACGTAACAGAGCCCAAGTCTGTTTTGCATCCACAATGATGCAACTGCTTGAGATGCTTAAACAGTCGTGACTTCCAGGACTAGCCTCTCCAAACCATGGTCTCCAACTTCTAAAATATAACCCCCTTAAAAAAACTGAGGAAGGTCAACAAGCAATTACAATACTTTTGTTAAATATCTGCTTCTTCTAGGCGTATAACGGCTATATCTCAAGGGCTACTGCAAAGTCTCTTTAGCACCTCCCGAAGTTCTGTGTTTGGCACCCCCTGCTGGTGGTATGCTAGGCCTTGTGGGACTACATGTTTTTAAAACAAACATATCAAGTCTTAAATATTCAAAAGACCACTGTTCTTCAAAACTGTCACCTAGGGAGGTTACCTGACTATTCAGCAAGTTCAACAAATATTTATTTCCAACAATGCTGCAATGCTGTCAATGGAACTGCCTTTGAACTTTTGAACTCCCTTTGGAGCCAGACAAGTAACTAATTATTTACTAGTCCCAAACAGCTTTAAATCAAAGGAAAAAATTGTACTTATTCTATATATTTAGTTCCAAATGATTTTGTTGTCACCAAACAAATTCACCTTTAATGGGTAACCATCTTCCAACTTTTAACCACAAGGACTGTAAGAAGTTTCAAAACCAGCAGTTCCCAAAATATGTTGCATAATCAGAGTATGGCTGGCAAAAGCATATAATTTTGCTTTTCCTCTGTATCTCTGCAAATCTCTCCAGTTTCGGCTGACCATTTACACCGTAAAAGGTCTGGGTAAACATAGCTTTGTCTCTATGACAACAATAACCTAATGAGGTATGATACGGGTTCTTTTCCCTAAGCCTTCATCCCTGGTTTGCCTAGGCACAGTTTACACCTTCAACATCAAGGACATACAAAAGTTAGTTTTTGGGATCTTCCATACAAAAACAAAAAGACATAATCTAACCAGCAATATCTTCAAAATCCTGGCATACATTATTGATATCTAAAATGCATTCAAATATGATCATGACTCTAATTATTTCAAAAGCAAAACAGATACTTGAGAAATGCCACTGAAACAATTGAATTGGGATATTTATATACGTATAAAGAACCACATCACAGAAACAAAGCAGAAACCTGAAGAATGTTGTATATAGCCATTTATTTATGAAAACTAAAGATCAAAACTTAAAATTAAAATATGGACATAAATACTTGCCTAAGTGCATGAAACACATAATTATGTGCCTACATGTTCAATTCAATGTATCTTCAATCAGAAACTTTAAACCATGTTAATAGGGTCTATTTGTTACATCTGGCCTCAGTCAGAGGAGACATAAGCATACTCAATCAACAACACCCTTGTTTCAGACCTAAGATACTCAATAGCACCAATTTTAACATGCTTAGAAATTTCATTAATCACATTGAGGCTGAGAAGCTCAGTAAAATCCCTTGAATACCTGAAAAATTGAAGTAGAAGCCAAGATAATTTCAGCAGTAACCTACATAGTTAGCATGGTAAACTGAGGTCATTTATATAACAAGTGTTTAGTGAATGCCTACTATGTGCCAGTATTACTTGGAATGATAATACACATTTAAACTAAAGGAATGGTCTGTCAGTAATCTAAAATGTCAGTGACAA